TTAAATTTTAAATTTTAAATTTTAAATTTTAAATTTTAAATTTTAAATTTTAAATTTTAAATTTTAAATTTTAAATTTTAAATTTTAAATTTTAAATTTTAAATTTTAAATTTTAAATTTTAAATTTTAAATTTTAAATTTTAAATTTTAAATTTTAAATTTTAAATTTTAAATTTTAAATTTTAAATATTTTTGTATATTCCCTCTTAATCTCTAAATTTAGTTCTTAAATTACAGTTTTTAAAATAAAGTTTTTAAAATTTTAAATTTTTATTTTTAATTTTTAATATTTAATTTTACTTTTTAATTTTAAAGATTAAAATTTAATATTTAATTTAAAATTTTAAACAAAAAAATGAACAATTTTTATATTTAAAAAAGAGAGTAAAGAGATTTGGGGAGACAAGAAACGAAGAGAGCTGAAATTAGTAGCATTAAAAGCATCAACAATGGTGAGGTAAAAATGGAATGCCACACAATGACGTGGAATATTTTAACCAATCAAAAATAGTCCAGTGGGCGTGTGGCAAGTGAGTGGAGTGACAAGCTCTATAGTGGCAAATCATTATTTTTATCACTTTTTTTCATTTTTTAATATTTTTTAAACATAAAAAAATTTATTATTTATTTTATCAAAAAAATATTCTACTTTCTTATTCCATTAAAAAAAAAACTTAACAAAAAAAGTTATAAAATAAGAAGAAAAGAAGGGTGGAGTGACACACCCATGCCTCACCAAGCATGGCATTTACCATTGTCATGCCATGGTATGAGAAGAAGAAGCTGATGTGGCAATGCAAGACATTCCTCTTCTTTGCATGCTCTAAGAGAGAGGGAGTAAAGAAATTGGGAGCCTGAAGAGACCCTGAGATAGAGACAATTTTTATGGCAATGTGTGAGTAAGATTTAATATTCGTTTTAGTGTCTGTAATTAGAAAATGTGAGTCGAATTAATTTGTTCCCTGTAAGTTTTGATGGAGTTAAATTAGTCTTTATAATTAGTAATTGTGAATAAAAATTAGTCTTTAAGTGAAATTTTAAACATTAATATATTTGGTGTGTAAATTTTAGCAAACAAAAAAATCAAACGTGTGTGTGTATAACTATTTTAAATGTTTTATTTAGACTTACAGTCCCAGTGTGTGCAGAAAGAGAAAAAAGAAAGATGTTAGACAATAATAAGAGTATTACTTGTGGTAGTATTGGTTGTGGTAGTGTTTCATTATTAGTCAGCTTCCTAATCCTATTTGTGGTAGATGTTGTATGTTAGTTAGTTTCTATTCTATATTCCTAGTTGTGTTAGGAGTCTCTCCTATATATACTCTATCATGTATTTCATAATTCAAGAGAGCAATATTATTTTTCCAATATTTCAACATGGTATCGGAGCCACCGCTCTTGGTGACCTAAAAAAAAAGTTCTTTGCTCCCACCGCCGCCGCCGGTAATTCCGGCGACGGCGGCTCCACCCTATTCACCTCTATTTTCTTTTCCTTCTTTTATCCTCAAATAAAATTCTCCATTCAAATGAAAAAAAAGAAAAAAACCTCTATTGAAATCAAACACAAAAAAACCATCAAAGGCGAAACTTCTCTCTTGTCATCTCTATGATTCTTCAAAAAAAAAAACCAACTCCACACAAACACTCTCAACTCATCCTTGTATCTTCTCAAAATCATGGAAAAAAAGGATAGTTGTTTCTCTACAATTCACTATCGAAGATTCTTAGACCTAGATCTTTTCTTCATCACCAATTCTTAATCTCCTTTTTTCTCTTTCAAATCACTCATTCTATAGTAGTCACAAAGAAGAGAAATAGGAAACAATTGGTTATTTTAAAGTTTTTTTTATGTTTTCGTTTCGGTTCTTCCCTTCATCACTTTCTCCTTTCTTATGGAGATGTGGGGAAGTTCTTTCTTTATCCCGTAACGGGCCTAGGTTCTTTTTCTGTTTCTTACAGTTTGATCTCCAGTCAAACAGGCACCTCCAGTAGTCTTCTCTATTCTTCTACGACGTCAGCAGCTACAAGCGCACGTCAACCTTCTCTCTTCTTCTTCGACGTCAGCAGCTACCAGCGCACGTCAATTTCTCTTTTCTTCAACGATGTCAGCAGCTAACAGTGCATGTCAGAATTCTCTCTTCTCCAACGACGTCAGCAGCCACCGGCGCACGTCAGACTTCTCTCTTCTCCAACGACGTCAGCAGCCACCGGCGCAGGTCAAATTTCTCTCCTTTCAAAGTTTCCAGTTTCGAGCTAGTGTCCAAGCTTCCTCTTGCTTCAGCCTGAGTTCAGCTTGAGGGGGGATGTTAGACAATAATAATAGTATTACTTGTGGTAGTATTGGTTGTGGTAGTGTTTCATTATTAGTCAGCTTCCTAATCCTATTTGTGGTAGATGTTGTATGTTAGTTAGTTTCTATTCTATATTCCTAGTTGTGTTAGGAGTCTCTCCTATATATACTCTATCATGTACTTCATAATCCAAGAGAGCAATATTATTTTTCCAATATTTCAGCAAAAGAGATTGGAGAGAATTCTAATCCTACTTGATTTACTATTCGTGAGGAGGAAGCCATGGTTGAAAATCCTAAGTACCCTCTAACAAGATTATTTTATTCCATATATTATCTTCGCCTTTCCTTATGGTTTTGGGCGTGCGAGAGTATCGATCTGGAAAAAGAACAGGAGCATATCCGATCAAAAAATAAAGAAGAAGGTGTAGATTTTGTGAAGGAGCACATACGACATTTCCTTGGAATTGCATTTCCAAAAGGAAAATGCTGGAGTCACAAACATATAATTTACAAACTTCACAAACTTGCCTTTTGTGGATTTTAAATTAAAATATCTTTTATTATTTAAGTGCATCTTATTTCTAGGAAAGTATTAAAAAGAAAAGTTTGTAAATTTTGTGAACTATTTGTTTGTAACTCTAGCATTATTCTTTTCCAAAAAGTCTCGTGAACCTTTGAACTTCCAATGACCACTTCCAAGATAATAATGCACGTGAAATATTTAGAATACCCATTGATTACTCCGTAAAGAAAAGGGTTCAATTCATTAATTACTCTCTCCACTTCTGCATGCAACCCTGCCTATATAAGTACGTAATGCAAAGCCGTAAGTTCCTACATATCCAAACCAAGTTTGATAACAGGTAAAGTAGCAAATTAAATTAAACCAGCCATGTCTTCAAAGCACAACGTTAGAGTCGCCGGAAAGACCATCGAAACCACCGTCACCAAAAGAGCCGCCGTCGTCACCGATTGGGTTGCCGACATCCGGTCCAAGCACGCCGGCAGATCGACGGTCGTGGTGGGCTTGGACCGGGAATGGAGGCCCAACACTAAGCCCAATGACGACAACAAGTCGGCCACCCTCCAGCTCTGCGTGGACGACAGGTGTCTCATCTTCCAGCTCCTCCACGCCGATGCCATCCCTGAAGCACTGAAGCGCTTCATGGCGGACCCCACGTTCGTGTTTGCGGGCGTTGAGGTTGCCGGTGACGTGGCGAAGCTGAGTGCGGAGTACGGGCTGGGGTGCGCCAAGGTGGCGGACCTCCGGGAGCTGGCGAGGGCGAAATGGCCTGGGAAGTTTGACCATGCGGCGGGGCTGAAGGAGCTGGCGAGGGAAATATGCGGACTCGAGGTGGCAAAATCGGATGAGGTTCGCCGGAGCGATTGGGCGGCGGCGGAGCTGAGCGGTGCTCAGGTTGAGTATGCTTGCATTGATGCCTATGCTTCTTTTAGGGTTGGACAGGCTCTCATTCTGGGAGCTTAAATTAATTAAATTTGTTGGTTCGTGAATCAAATCCAGTTTGGATGATGGATTATTTGCTACCTAAATCATCAATTAATGTCCCCTACCCGAATAAATAAATGATTGAATAAAAGTTTCTATTTACTAAATGGACTTATGGTTATGCTCGCTATTTTGAAGCATGTTTGTTTAAATTTTAAATAACTTCCTCTCTCTCATCGATTTTAAATTTTTTTATTTGATTTTTTTAAATGTATTTTGTAATATTTTTACATTTAGGATTAATGTTTATACATAGATATATTTTATTACAGAATAATTAATACTCCGTAGTTAATTAATGTATCAAAATCATGTTTTAAAAAAAGTATTGATACTTCCTCCGTCATCGTAAAATATTCTCATTTTGACTTTTTGTGATTTTTAAGGAGAGTTGAAAAAAGATGAAAGTTTATCATAATACCCTTAATGAAAATGGGTGGAGTTTATTAAATGAGGTGGGTGAAGTGTAATAAATAAAATAAGTGAGGGTAGTTATGGTATTTTAATTGTTAAAAAATAAAATGAGAAGATCTATTGTGGACAAAGAAAAAAACTATTGAAAAGATCTATGGTGGACAAAGGGAGTATTATATTTATATCAAAGTGCAATTTATTCTTTCACATATCAAGTCAAAGTTTATAATTTTTTATCAAGAAAACTAAATGGGAAAATTAAATAAAGATGGGGAGTAATACCCCATGGCTTTTCAAAAAATAAATGGATATAAATGGAGTATATTAATAGTTTGTTGAACTTTTAAAAATATTACATCAATAGTTCTTTACATGTGCTTTATTATTAATCTTGTGTTTTTTTGGCACGACAATACAAATAATATTGGTCAACCTTCTATTTAGTACAATTAACCTAATAATGAAAAGGCAAAAAAGCTTTTCTCTCTCCTTCCATAAAATTTTTCATAAAATCTTTCCTTTTTGAGAAAAGATGAGAATTAAATATTGGGCAACCTTCTATTTAGTACAATATCAGAACACGTCAATGTACATAATGACGGAAGATCAAAAAAAGGACTATTTGTGGAAAGGCACCCTTAAAAAAAAGGACTACGTGGGTAATATTTGATAATAGAGGACTAAATATGGAAACCCCCTTGTTATAAAGGATCAATTATGGAATTTACTCTAAAAATAATCATTTTTTCTCAAAAAAGGGTATAACTTTATTGTTATTTTCTAATTTTATTCTAATTTTATGCTTTACACATATCATAAAAAGGTTCCACATTTGAATTGATACGTAGATTAATTAAATAAAATAAAATTTATGGTCGAAAGTGATGCACAAAAAATAAACTATAAGGGTCACAATTTCAAGAATTTATTTTTCGAACACTGATTATAGTTTTTTGGAAAAAAATTAAAATAGCTTAAATCCATTTTCAAGCACACTTTTAGACTCTTGACATTCCATCGATAACTACCCCATATTATATAAATATAAGTTATTTCACATTACCTTTTTATGAAATAATTAGTTACTCTGTATTAGTTATTGAATGTTTGTATTAACTACTCCATCCGTCTCGAAATATTCTTTTTATTTGTTATTTTACGGTATTCAAGATTGTACTTTGATTACTAATATCTTTATTTATACATAGATATAATTTATAAAAATTTTATATTTGATAACTACACTTCAATATGAATATATTAATATTAAAGTTATATCATAATACAATGTTTTTTTTCTATATATCAAAGTCAAAGTTTACAAACTTTTACCAAGAAAAGTTAAATGAGAAGAACATTTTTAGACAGAGGGAGAATGTTGTTTAGTGTTATTTATTTGATTATCATGTAGTGTTTGTTCATATATTTGTATTACCTCTGTTTTAGTATATTCGTCTAGTTTGACCTTTTCGAATCTAAATTTAATTTATCTTGTTGAGAATTTTTAGAATTTGATTTTATTGAATTAATTACGATGTAATACAAATTCATAATAGAAATTACTCTAAATAGGACTAAAACATAGAGAAAATTACTAAAATAGGACTTTCATGTTTTTTTTTCCGAAATAAAACTTTGCATTGTGGTAATGTGGCATTGTACATGTGCACATTACTATACTTTTTTGATAATGTACATGATAATGTACATGATAATGTTTGGTAATGTAAGTCCGATTTTGGTAATAAAAATATGGAATTCATATTTCGGTATATTTTCAATATCTTAGTCCTACTTTGGTCTTTCTTCAATAAAAAATAAGTCATGATTAATGCTTTGCTTAATTTGACTCTAAAAAGTCAACTTGGACAAATATCCTGGAACGAAGAAAATAATTATTTTTTAAAACTAATTTGGTAGATTAACTCTTTGTGCTAAGTGTTTGAGACTTTGCATGTTTGGGAATAGCGTTAGAAATTAGCATTAACATTTTGAAAAGACTATTTACGGGCAGCATTTAGCATTAACATTTTCAAAATAATATACACCGTCAAAATTTTATTCGGAACGCTAATACTAATCTCTAACGCTATTCTCAAACACGTCTTAATAGTAGTACCGAGCCAATAGAGAAGAAAGCTATCTCCAAAAGAAACAAGTTTTCAAATTAAAAATCGTTTTTTAAATACCCGGAGTAAAAAAGTTAGAGCAATGCTAGGGGTACACCACCTCTTCTCCACCACACATTTTTATTTGATTTTTATTTGCTTATTTTTTTTAAATTTTTTTGCCTTTTTTAGTGAACAATGAGGGGGTGGGGGACATATGGGGTACACTTTTGGTGTACCCCTAGCATTTTTCAAAAAGTTATTCTAGGAAACCGCTAACCAAACACTTGACTTGTAATAAAGTGTTTGACCAATTATTTATCTCACATATTGAACTTCTTTCCAATAAAATATACTCGCTCTGTCCCCAATTTGATTACAAATTGTGGGTTACGGAGTAAAATTTCTTATTTTTTGAGATTATTTTATTTACAAATTGGTATATTAATAAGATATAAAAATTATATATTTAAAAACTACGTCAAAAGTTCTACAAAATAAGAGGTGACAAGAATATTTTATTTTATCAAATACTTAATGAAATCATGTAAACAAACAAAAGTTATCGAGAGGAGAGAGAAAAAAAGATTGTAATCTATTTAGGGACGGAGAGAGTATTAACAAAAAGTTATTAAAAACAATATATTAAAAATATTTTTTGATACCAAAATTTTTTTAAAATTTTTATATTTTATTCCATTGTATATTTTTATACTCCTTTCGTCCCGAAATAGATTACAATCTTTTTTTGTTTTTTCTCATATATTTTATTGAATATTTGATAAAATAAAATATTATTGTTACCTCTTGTTTTGTAAAACGTTTAACATAGTTTATTATATGTACCCCGGAGTAATTATTTTTTTATTGATATATCAATTTTTAAATAAAATACTTTCAAAATACTCCCTCCGTCCCATAAAACATTTCTCCTTTCTTTTTTTATCTGTCTCACAAAACATTTCTCATTTCTATTAAAAAGTCACTTTTACCTCTTACTTTTTCATACCCTAACTATCACATCATACCTATTTACTAATAATCTATCCATCAAATCATACTTTTACCCATCACATCAAAGGACATTTTTGAAAATTCAATACCAAAATACACTCTCCTTAAATCCCTCTTAAAAAGCAAAACTCCCATATTTTATGGGACGGAGGGAGTATAAGAGATTTTTCCCGTAACTCCCATTTGTAAAAAGGAGTGGAGTGGATAACTAATTAACTTGGATATCCAAACGTCCACACAAAATTTATAAGTAGCATTGATAGTGCGTGCAAGAAAATCACACTACACCTAGCTATCATCGAATTCATTCATTGGCTAGGTACTTACTATACATTGTGGATATGCATGCGTAGAATAGACAAAATAAAATTAATAATCACATCTACTCAAAAACAAAAAAAATCATTTAATTATTATAGTTATAAAAAAGAAAAAAATGTTTAATTACTATGGTAGGAATCGTTGGACCTCCTCCTCCTCCTCCTCCTCTCCTAGTAGCATCACCTTCAACTCCTCCAACTCCAAGTACTACGTCCAATTCGGAGGTAGGAGGATCGAGACCATGGTGACCGACAGAGCCGCCGTGGCCAACGAGTGGGTGGCCCACGTCCGCTTGAAGCACGCCGGCCACGGCGAGCCGACGGTCGTGGTGGGTCTGGACAACGAGTGGCGGCCCCACCCGGTCCGGTACATGAGCAACAAATCCGCCACCCTGCAGCTATGCATAGACGAGGACTGCCTCATCCTCCAGCTCTTCCACATGGACAGGGTCCCAGAAGAGCTGAAGGAGTTCCTCGCGGACCCCACGTTCGTGTTCGTTGGGGTTGAGGTGGCGGACGATGTTCGCAAGCTGAGGGAGGAGTACGGGCTGGTGTGCGCGAGGAGCGAGGACATCCGGGAGCTGGCGAAGCGGAAATGGCCGGGCCGGTTCAGCCGGCCGGGCCTGAAGGATCTGGCGAGCGAGGTGTGTGGGCTCCACATGCCGAAACCGAAACACGTGTGCATGAGTAACTGGGAAGTGAGGGAGTTGAGCTCAGCTCAGGTTGAGTATGGATGCATCGATGCCTATGCTTCTTATAAGATTGGACACCTTCTAATCTTGGAAAATAATTAAGTATCACTAGTATTGTTTTTAATTTATTTCCTGATCAAAGAATAAAAAATACTCCCTCCCCCACACACTTTTTACCCGGTCAAACTTTAATCACTTTCTTTACCTATTTTCATTAGGTATTTGATAAAATAATATAGTCTTGTCACCACTTGTTTTGTAGAACTTTTGATGTAGTTTTTAAATATATAAATTTTATTTTATAATTTTACACCTACAATCAAATAAATTGAATTGAAAATAAAGTCGGTCAAACTTCGTAAAATGAACCGAGAAGATCATTATAGGACGGAGGGAGTAATAATAAATGTTGCTATAACACCAAATTTGACAGAAAGGTTGACATGATAACTATTGCTTATGAGATACTAGTAGTGTCAACTTTTTTGTCGGGTGTTATTGTAGCGTGACCTAAAATTAGTGTGTGTTATTCCTCCTTAGCCTGTTGTCCTCTCTTTACAATGAAATAAACAAATGGATGAAGCTTTTATGCACGAGCGGTAAAATAACTTATATTTAATCTTGGTTTGGAATAAAATATAATGAAAAAAATATAAAGATTACAAATTTTATTTTTATTGCCCAAAAAAGGTATTGTATATCATGGATTATTGTCGAAAAGTAGTGTTATAAGTTTTGAAACACTTCTTTATAAACTACATTTGTATAAACTAATTCCTCTTTACAATAAATTAAGGAAATAATGAATTTTCTATAATTACAATTTTGAATTTAGTGAAATGCATGTCAGGAAAAATATCATAGGAAAAAAACATTTAATGTGGTTTTAATTTGTTTTATTTGAATAACACCAAATTGAAAAAAAAAAAAGAAAGTTTTTGAAGTTTGACTGTGAGAATAGTACACATGCAATTTAATTTTAGTTTGAGGGCTAAATTATGTTCATATAATTCATCCATCCAATTTAATTTTTAAGATATATTTTTTATTTAATTAATATACAAAATATATTTTCATTTAGTCATTAGTAAAATGCTAAAAATAGTTCACCAAAAAATTAAATCGGGACAAAAACTCATGAAGGGGCATGGTAATAATCCACAGGCATTAGCCCACTTGTTCTCCCAGCCAAACTTAATATACCGGCCCAATATCCATTAATATAAAACCAATCTTCCTAACCCTACCATTCACTTCCGCTCTTCCGCCGCTACAATCCCCTCTCTCCTCCTTCGTCTTGGTCTTCGTCTCTTTGTCGCCATCTCTCCATCCGTAACTATGTCTCTCCCTCTCTCTCCAATATTTTCTGATTATTAAACTATTTGATTTGTATGTGCGCCGATACTTTTCGTTGATTCTACTTTTTTTTTTTTGAAATTGTTGTTTTGGATGATCTTGGGGTCCGTTTTGATTTAATGTTTTTTCTTTAAGATGTGTTACAACGCATCTTTAGATAATCCGATTTATATATATAATATTCGGATATATATATATATATATATATATATATATATATGGGCTGGTTCCTGTAAGAATGCACCTTGTGGAGAGAAATGAGAATGAAATCTAGCCGTTGGATCTGATGCATCGTGCGGCTCAGATTGCATCCTGCGCTCAGATTTTGAAATAGTGCATTTTCAAAGGATTATGATGCATTTCAACGTGATGCATTTTTAAACCATTTTGTTGCACCTAATTTTGATGCAATCCTAACCCTTAGATCACACAATCTAAAGCACCAAATTCATTCTCATTTCTCTCCTAAGATCGCATTCTCACCAGAACCAATATATATATATATATATATATATATATATATATATATATATATATATATATATATATATATATATATATTCAAAAATTTATTCGAATTTGAAAAACCTAAGTCTATATAAATTGTACTTATCGAGATGTTTAAACTTAATACACAAATACATATATTTGTAAATTTACACATTCTTCATTAGAACATCATGTAATAATTATGATGAACCTTTTACCATGTGTGTATTCAATTATAGAATTACTTCTTAATCACCAAACTTGTTAATCCTATTTTTATTTTTTAAAGTAGTATTTGCAGAGTTACTGTAAGAACTTTTTAAATTATGGCCTATTGATATAAATCTTAATATATAAAAATTATATCTCTGAACATGCCTCAAATCTTATTTTATGTACTGTTAGATGAATATATATATATATATATATATATATATATATATATATATAGAATTACTTCTATATATATATATATATATATATATATATATATATATATATCACTCGCCTTGTTGTTCCAGAGAATTAATATACATATACTTATTTTATATATTATATTATATATATAATTATTACTCCGTATTAATGTAATACAGGTCCCAACATCACAGTGTGTCTAAACATAAGAATGTGATGATATGGAAGGACTGAAATCTGTTATGGTGAATTTTTAGGATTTTAATGTTTGAGGCATAAAAAAAAACAAACGTATCTTGGCGTGGCGTAATGGAATTAACCCCCGTTGATGCAGCCATGGCGATTTTGTTTCTTATATTGCTTCAAACTTAAAACCGGATTAAAAAATCTGAGCCTCCATTATAATTATTACATGTATATCTGTATATAGGGCTGTGATGATATGGAAGGACTGAAATCTGTTATGGTGAATTTTTAGGATTTTAATGTTTGAGGCATGAAACAAACAAACGTATCTTGGCGTGGCATAACGGAATTAATCCCCGTTGATGCAGCCATGGCGATTTTGTTTCTTATATTGCTTCAAACTTAAAACCGGATTAAAATATCTGAGCCTCTATTATAATTATTATATATATATATATATGTATATATGTGTGTATATATATATATATGTGTGTGTGTGTATGTGTGTATGTATGTAAAATGTAAAGAAGGTGACACCATTGTTATGGAGAGCTAGATGCTCAATAAGAAATAAAAGATTGAATGAGAAATACAAAAGTGGGAATGTGAAGAGTTGTGGTGTTGGTGAATTAGAGAATGGCCTATTATTTATACTATCAGGATTTGTGAGATTGGT